GTTTAATTTTTTCAAATTGTAAACACTCATTACAAATCTTAAATTTCTTGACAAATTGTTGTTTTCGCGTTCTTCGTCAGAAAAAAGTTTTCCATCGCAAACTAATGAAAAAAAAGAACACAAATTGTAATAATTAATTTTTTTTCTCATCATCCAATTCACTACCACACTAAAATCAAGGATGAAATCAATTGTTAAGTTGAGTAAACCTAAAGTGTCAAGTGGCTACCATACGGTAAGGGAACAAGTGAAGTGGACAAGGATAGTTTCAGTTTACCTTGTCGGAAATTGCTCATTTGTTGGCAAGGTAATGAGTCCCGTTCGTATTTCTGGTACTGAGCTTGGATTTCTAAAAATATTTTTAATAAATTAAGAAATTTTATTTAAAGGACACTTTTTAAAACTTTTCTTACCATATTGATTGATAAGAGAACCATCATCAGGAGACTTAAAAATGGTGTCTATGTTGGTGGAAGTTGATGAATGCATTGAACCAACAGTCGTTTAAATAGTAAATCTGTATTTAAGAATGAAACATTTTCTCTAATCTTATTCTGTTTTAAAAATTGGCAATAATTAAATCAGGAGTACGAATTGTTTCGTTTTCTGACCTATTTAGTTTTGACTCATTTCGCATGATTGCATCAAAAATAGGCAAAAAAAGATCAAAATATTGTCCACTTTTGCTGATTGTTTTAGGCATTTTAAAATATTTTTGAATTTGCCACAAAGAAATTATTGAATGGAAAAATAATCAAAAATATTCATCAATAACCTGCTTGTTTGTTTCTGCTCAAATAAGAATTAGCTTTTTGAAGCATTTTGGACCCGAGCGGCACAATTTGACGATGATGATCAAATGATCGTCATATGAGCGTCATCGTCTGACGATGACGATTGTATGACGATTTTTTTTTCTAAAATATTATAACGATCATATGACGATCATATGAAAGTCATAGATGACGATGACGTGAAAATTTTGTGATTGCTGAGAACAATTTTTTATTCAATACTTCAACAATTTTTCTTTTAAACATTTAAATCTCAGTTACCTTCGATTTTCTAGGATTTTTTTTCCTCAATTGCAATTGAGAATTTGAAAAAGACAGACGTGTATTTATAAAGTGTATTAATTGTGAAAAAAATTGAAGGCATCAGCATTACACCAGTTCAAACATAATAGTTTGTAAATCCAAATAATTATTGCAAGTTTTACCTTTTTATTGGTTTTTAATAGAATTAATTTTGAAAGAATTTTCCTACATTCATGAAAATCTCAATTGTTTCGTTAACGCACCAGTTTTCTGTGGTACTAGACTCAAAGAATGGATTGTTCATAGTTCCAAGTTCTTGGATTTTCGATGAAGACGGTGACGTGTTTACACAATATCCCCCAAAGAACGCCATCAATACACAAAAGATTGTCCAGGATATGAAGGAACCTGCTGAAGATTGGACAGTAGTGAAAGTGGAAATTCTTAAACCCAATATTGGTAATAAAAATTTAAATACTTAATCGTGCTAGATTAAAATTTTTTGTGTAAATTTTTTTTTTCACCAGGTGATTATCAATCTGCATTGAAATCAATGAAAGTTCGTGAACGTTTCAACGATACAGCATCAGAAGCTGAAAAGGCAAAACATAAAAGAATTTCTAAGAAGCGCAAGACATCAAGTAGTGAAGAAGATTTAAATGGATTGTTTAATACAATAAACCAGAAACAAACGGCAAATAAGAAATCTAGATTGCAAAAGGTCACCGCATTGAATACAAATTCACAAACAACAACAGTAAAAACTTCTAGTGCTTCGATTATGAGAAAGGACACGCAAAGGAAAATAAAGCAGAATTCAAGTTTGTCGCTGAAAACGATTCCTGTGTCACAAAATACCTCAAACCTGAAGAGCTCATCACAATTGACTCGGTTAATGAGTAAGAAAACACAAGTAGTTGCTAGTGTTTCGAATACAAGTGAAATTGGTGACAGCGATTTAGATGAGGAAAATGAGAAGTCACTGAAAAATACATTAATTACGCCAGAACTGTTGAATGATAGCAATATGTCTTCACCAGTACAGTTTCGCGAGCATTTTTTTGGGAACAGCAATTTTAATGAGTTTTCCAATGAGTTATCATCAACACGTGTTAATCAAGAACAGTATGGGATTGAAAGCCGTTTGCAGAAACTAGAAGATAAAATGGAAATTTTGCTTTCAAATCAGGAATTAATTTTTTCTAACCAGAAATCCATAATGGAGCATTTGGAAGCACTTGGAAGCTCAATTGCAGGAAATCGAGACCGTTCGTCATCAAATAATTTAAGTGTTGATATTTCAAGCATTGCTCCTATAAAAGATCGTGATAGCTTCTTCAGTGTGGAGAAAATGCTGGCAGCACATCGTAAGCAACCTACTGCTGATAAAGATTTTTCAAAGAAAAGGTCCGCAATGGTCAACTATTATAAAAGCCATATTCGTCCAATCGGAAGTGCTGCTCCAAAGAACAGTTTAATGCTTTCTTTGTTAGAGATGTATTTTGAAAGTAATTTCATTGATAATTTGTGTTGGACAGACACTGTAGGTAAGTTTTGACATTTAGGAAAATTTGTTTTTTCATAAATCTAATAAAATTTTCTATCTTTCTAGGATGTGTGTGTTTTAATAAATGTGAAGGCCATTTTGATTTATTCTTTGACATCATAGAAGCTCATACACCTGGCACGTATAGTTCATTGGGTGACTCGTCAACTGCAGTTAAAATATACTTGCATAGACGTCGTGAAAAACAAGCGAAAAAAGCAAAAGAAATTAATCGTCAGTCCCAACCAAACATTGAATATGAAGATAATGATTAATCAAAAATATCACAAAAAGTTGTTTTAGATAAAATAATATACAACTTCCTCCATCACAATCGTAAGATGTTCAGTTTATCCATTTAATTAATCTTTAATTTTCATTCCTTACATTGTTAAAAAGATGATGTTTTACTATGACAAATATAAAAATTATAAAAATTAAATCACTCAATTCTATTTATTTAAGATATTTTATTTTTCAGCCCATATTAAGCATATTTCATGATTTTTTATCGTCACTGAACTGTTAACGTGCCGTCGTTATTCCGTCATAATCTCGTCAAAAGACCATCATGCGATAGTCATATGACGTTATCGTATGATCGTCGAATGACGATTTTTTTGTCAAATGACGGTCATATGGCGTTGTAAATACAATCAAAACGACGTCGTGATAACGTCTTATCGTCATATGATGATCATATGATCGTCATACATGACGTCTTTGTGACCATGACGATTGTCATATGACCGTCATATGACGCTTGTGTGCCGCTCGGGAATGGTAAGAATTCTTAGTTGTTGCTTCAAATTTTATGACTAATGAAGAGTTTCAAGCCCCGCGCACAAAAACGTGGAAAAATTTTTATTAAATTAATTAAAGTGTCCAAGTCGTTATTAGTTGAAAAAACCTTCTTAGTAAGTGCCAATGGTTGTGTTTTCCTCAAGGACAATGAGGAAAGCCAAAAGAAAGCAAGATTTGTCGCCAAAAATTGATTTGGACGAAAGTTCAAGCAAATCTAATGAAAATTCCAAGAAGAGGAAGCAAACGCCTCAGAAAGAGGAATCATCGGTTCCAGTCACAACAACAACTTCAGTCAAGCCAATATTTGTGCAATGCAGTCTCAAGGATGTGAGAAAATTAATTTCACTATTGAAATTGCAGGTTATGCCTGCATATAAAATTTCATCATCAAATACAACTCAAGTAATTGTCAAGTCTATTGAGGATAAGGCCTCAATAATAAACCTTCTGCGGTCTCAAACTATTCAATTCCACACCTTCTCCGAGAAATCGGAGAAAACAAAGTCATTCGTGTTGAAAGGATTTTACGAAACACCAACGAATGAAGTACTAAGATTACTTCAAGAAGCCAAGGTTTCAGCTGTCAAAGTGACAATTCTCGTCAAGAAGCCCGAGTTCACCTTTTATCTTGTGCATTTTCAAGATGAAAGTGTGAACATCAACGTGCTCAATCATAACCACCGTAACATCGACAACATCATCGTCAAGTGGGAGAACATCAAGAAGGGCAACAAAAGCCCAACGCAGTGCTTCAACTGCCAACGTTGGGGTCACTCATCTCAAAATTGTGGATATAAATTCCGATGCGTCAAGTGCACGGAAGTTCACGGACCAAATCAATGTCAACGATCCACTCGTGATGGAAATGCCAAGTGCATTAATTGCAATGTTCCAAAAGAATCGAAAAGTCAAGAGCCAAACCACAACTCAAAATGCTGCCACAGATATCAAGTCTTTTGGACAGTAACAATTTTCCATCGTTAAGCAAACGACATCAAGTTTCTGCTCATTCACATCCAGTGAATGCTGCAAGTAACTCATCAGCAACATTTCAAGAAGAGATTAATCAGCAACAACTGATCAATAATATCAGTTATGCAGAGAAACTCAACGAAGCAGTAAAGAATGAAAGCCTTTTCAAGAAATTCACAGAAGCTCAAGAACGTCTAAAGAGAATCCCCAACATTGAAGAAGCAATAAATCAGTTCTGCAGTTTCGTAGACGAAGTCGGAAAGATCCCAAAGGATGCACCTCAAGGAACTGCATTTAAAATCATGGTAAAGTATGGCTTCATTGGCTGCCCACCAGCACCGAACAATCCTGTTCAAAAATAATTTATTAACGTAGTTCATAAGCTTAAAAAAAAGCTTTTTTTTTTTTTTTCTCGCTCGGCAACTTTTTTTAAACTTTTTATGCCACATTTTCATGATATATGTAAATCTCATTCATCAAAATTAATAATTAATCAAGATATAGTTGAATTAAAGCCATATTCAGGCTGGTGTCAAAATAAGACTCAAAGAAATGTAACTTAAACTACAATAATTCCAAATTTGAAATAAAGAAAGATTTCGTTTTTTTTTTTATGACTAATGAATGGAAATTCTTATATAGGGACCTGCTATGATCGTAAACTGCTACTACGAGGTAAGTTAATTTGGATCTAGAAGATTTAAATCTGATGATTAAATTAAGTCCAGAAATTTTAAATCCAGCAAAATTAAATCTAATAATGATGTCAAACTCTTTCAGACATGGGTATTTGGTCCATTAGCTTGTCAAATTGTAAGTACATCTTCAAAACTTCCTCATGCTTCACATTGCTTCACATAACAATAAATCTCTTTCAAATTATTAGTACGGAATGTGCGGATCTCTTTTTGGCTGTATCTCCATTTGGACAATGACAATGATTGCATTCGACAGATACAATGTCATCGTTAAATATATTACTGGCAAGCCACTGACTCATGGTGGAGCAATCCTTAGAATATTCTTCGTCTGGGCTGCATCCCTATTATGGACATTGTTGCCACTTTTCGGATGAAATAGATACACACCCGAAGGAAATATGACTGCATGCGGTACTGACTATTTGACACCAGGATGGACTAGTCGCAGTTATGTCTTAGTTTATGGAATCTGGGTCTATTTCCTTCCACTTCTGTTAATCATCTACTCATATTACTTTATCATGCAAGCCATAACTGCACATGAGAAGAACATGCGAGAACAGGCTAAAAAGATGAATGTTGCATCCTTAAGATCATCAGAAAATCAAGCACAGAGTGTTGAATGCAAACTAGCCAAAATAGCCTTAATGACAATCTCATTGTGGTTTATGGCTTGGACACCATATTTAGTCATCAACTTTGCATCAATCTTTGATATGGCAAAAATAACTCCTTTGGGTTCAATCTGGGGCTCAGTTTTCGCTAAAGCGAACTCTATTTATAATCCAGTAGTCTACGGTATCAGCCATCCTAAATATCGTGCTGCTCTCATCAAGACATTCCCATCGTTGGTATGCGGTGGAAAGGATGACTTATCTGACGCCCAATCATCTGGTACAGCTTTGTCAACTGTTTCTGAAGAAAAACCAGTAGCATAATTTCGACTAGATTATGACGACTACAGCTTGTTAATGGAAAAATGGCTGGAAACTTACTAATATTAATTAATCATAAAATTTAAAAATGGCAAAGCATTGAATAAAAAAAAGTCGAAAGTCATTGAATCTGATGTTATAACTTAACAATAATCAATAATTTAAATGCCCATATTTATGATTATAGCTCTTATTTCAATTTTAATATAATTATGAGAAAAAAAAGAAAGTCTTAAGGCTCGTTTAACTCAGAATCTGTTCACTGTTCACTTCCAGCTGTTTCAAATAATTAAGATTTTGACTAGTTTAATTCTGCACAGCACCTTAATAGTTATAAATCAACACCCTAAAATTAAAGGAACTATTAAAATCTGGAAAGTCATATTCAACAGGTAGAATCATTTCAATGTCATGTGAAGCCATTGAAATGTAAAAATTATTCTAAAATGCAATAAACGATTGCAAAACAGTCTTTAAAGCAGGAATGGATACTCATACTTAATACAAGATTTAATAAATGGTTCTAATTTATCCACTGTGAATAAAGTGGTTGGGGAGGTTTCTTTTGTAGGATTAGAGACTTTGTTGCTTAACTTCATTCTCTTCATTCGAGTGAATAAAAATTTGCTCAATTAGAAAAAACCGATCGAAATTCAATCCTTGCTTTAAAGTATTATAATGTCTTATTTAAAATAAAAATCAATTCCAAGTTAGCTAAGTATTGAATACCCTCAATTTGATTGCCTAAAAGTTGTTCTAATCAGCTTAAATTTCTTTACAATCCTCTCATTCAGCAAATTAAATTAAAGGAAATAAAGATTTCTTAGTATAAATATAAAGGGTTGGCTAGTGTCAGTCAGTATGCATTGTATCAGAAGTAGTTCGTTTAGTTAACGATTTTCTTCGATAAGTTAAAGTAAATTGTGGAAATTTATTCAAAACATAAAAGAAAGTAGATAAAAATGGCAGCTTTTGCAGCTTATCAAGCATCAGGCTTTGGGAACATAAATCATGGAAACATGTCAGTTTTTGACATGGTACAACCTGAAATCAAGCATATGGTGTCGACTCATTGGGCTCAATTTCCTCCAATGAATCCATTATGGCATTCGATTTTAGGATTTACAATCTTCTGTCTCGGTATCGTCTCTATGATTGGAAATTACGTTGTCATCAGTGTCTTTACATCTACAAAATCACTCCGAACACCTTCCAACTTACTTGTTGTCAATTTGGCATTCTCAGACTTTTTAATGATGTTCACAATGGGACCACCAATGGTAATGTGCTGTTATCATGAGACATGGATTTATGGACCATTAGCTTGTGAATTATATGCTGCTGCTGGATCTCTATTTGGATGTGTTTCGATTTGGACAATGACATTAATCGCCTTTGATCGATATAATGTAATTGTAAAGGGTATTGCGGGTAAACCAATGACAAAGGGTAATGCTTTAATGCGAATAATGATTGTATGGACTTTCGCGTTGATCTGGACTATTGCACCATTCTTTGGCTGGTGTAGATATGTCCCAGAAGGTAACATGACTGCTTGTGGAACTGATTATTTGTCACAAGACTGGGGAAATCGATCATACATCATTATTTACTCAATCTTCGTATACTGGACACCATTGTTGATGATTATCTACTCATACTTCTTCATCTTACAAGCCGTATCTGCTCACGAGAAGAATATGAGAGATCAAGCTAAAAAAATGAATGTTGCGTCATTGAGATCATCAGAAAATGCAAACCAAAGCGCCGAATGTAAATTAGCTAAAGTTGCCTTAATGACTATCTCATTGTGGTTTATGGCTTGGACACCATATTTGATTATCAACATTGGATCCGTTACAGGTGCTGTCAAGATTTCTCCATTGACTTCAATTTGGGGCAGTTTATTCGCTAAAGCCAACGCTGTCTACAATCCAATTGTTTATGGTATCAGCCATCCTAAATATCGTGCAGCTTTACAAAAAAAATATCCATCATTGGCTTGCGCGAACGAACAACAAGAAGTTGCCGTCGAAGGACAATCTATGACTACAGATGTAGAAGAAAAAGCTTAAAATACCTGATACAGTGAACATTGAGGTTGGATTTGTTTCCAATTTCCTAGATTTTAATTTTATTTTATTAATTAATGAGCATTCAAAAAATGTAAAAAAAAAGGATAATAATGAATAAAAGAATTATAACATTTGAATTAATTCAGTCTGTATAAACTTCTTGTTTACCATTTACTTGATGTGACATTATACTGAGCTTGCTCTTGGCATTCAAGCTTATTGATTCCTTTTCAATATTTAAGGAAATTAGGCAATGGGACAGTTGAATTTAATGGAGATACAATAATGAATGTAGGGTTTCCGATTTTCTTCTTTTGTGGCTTCAAAGATAGATGCATGTTATACTGATCAGTAATAACTTTATATTCCTCTTCTTTGTGGATTTTCTTAAGTTGATCCTTAAATTAAATAGAATTATTATTAAGCAACAAAAAAATCAAGTCAAAATTACTGTATTATTCACAAACATGAAGATAACTCTTATGGTCATAAAATACAGCATCTCAACAACAGATAGAAGCGAGAGGCCCATAAAAAGTCCGAGCGTACCTAAAACACATTCAAACTTAGGAAAAGTTTTAACAAAATCCAAAAATAAGTGCCTCCAGAAGAAACCAGCAAGTCTATCCACCCAAAAAGGACCTCTCTTTTAAACTGCATTACAGGCCATGACGATAATCTAATTTTTATATAAATCTCTTCAATTTCATCTCCATTGTCGTCTTTATAATCAATTGAAAGTTTTTCAGGCTCAAATATTTTATCAAAGCAGTTTAATTGACAATGATGGCAGCTTATGGATGAAATTGCTTCCGAATAATTAGCAAGACACATGAAATCATCAATTAGACATTTTCTGTTTTTATCATAATTTTCAGGAGCATAGAACGATGGTATGCAGCAGGGGCGTAGCCAGAAAATTTTTAAGGGGGGGCCCGTTTTTGAAAATTAAAAAAACGTTATTTTGTTTCCTTAAATCTATATTCATTCTTCATAAGTTTAAATATTTAATTCATTATTCATACAATAAATTTAATTTTTCGTGCTGATTTTGACATTTCTTTCATCATTTCCTCTCCATTAACTGGTTCTTCTCTATAAATACTTAATTAAAAAATTATCAGATTTTCGTAGGGGGGCCCGGGCCCCCTATGCCCCCCCCCCCCTGGCTACGCCCCTGATATGCAGTTACAAAGCTTTAATACAGTTCTCAAGCGACATTCCATCATGCAATATGAAAATGAATATGTCTCGTCATTATAATAATTTAATGTCACGGAATCGTCAAATTTATCAGGAAATATGCATTTTCGTTGACTTATTGATAATTGATCCACAGCTTTATCTGTATGTGTTTGCTTTAATGACAGCATTAAATCCGCTTCTGTTGCATAGGCTGGACTGAACTGTTCTGATAATTTTATCAGAATTCTGTTATTTATCGGAATTGTTCTGTTAATATTATCAGAATTCCGATAAATATCGAAAAAGTTCTGTTAAAAAGTTCAGTTAATAAAATTGCGATTCGCAATTATTTTTCAGAACTGTTCTGTTATTTATCAGAATTCTGTTAATTTTTTTTTCATATTTAATAAATTATTTTAAATAATAATAAAAAGAAGTTAAATCATAAGTCTAAACGTCATTTTCAAATATAACTTCCTGTATAACTCAAAAAAAAAAACACTTGAGGTTTATAAGTCCTGACACAAACTGGAGTTGGACTTAAAAACCTCACATGTAGATCACTATTCCGGAAATTTATAAATATTTATAATTAAACTCACAGTGTAATTATGAGTAGTCTCATTTTTCTGGGTGTCAAACCCAAATCCTAAAACGTATCCCAAATGATTGAAAAATTTCTGAGCTATTCAAACCAGAAATAAATCAAATGATTCATAAATATTGTATAGCCCAAGACGCTTCAAATGAGCGGTTTATTTTAATATAAAAGATACTCTAGAGTAAATCTGCAAAATTATGAAACTGGCGAAAAGCGAGTTGTAATATTTCTCTACTTGCAAAAATTTGAAAAATAAAAACTCAATTTTTTACAATTTTTGAACAAAAATAAACATTATTTTTAAGTCACTGCATAATTTAGATATTTCAACTGATTATGATCTTAACGTTTTATAACTTTTGAAAATTTATCGTGTGTTACGAAAAAATACTCTAAACTGATGTTTTGCAACAAAGTGTTCTTGCAGGAGAGATTGACGCTTTTTTCTTTAATTTCTCTTAATTAAGTGACTTTTTTTTAACACCTGATAAAAGAATGTGGTAGAAAATTAAATTTGAAATGCTATAAAACAAGTCTGGTGCTGTCTAGATTTATAATTAATAAAATTTTTGCTTTTTTTGAAAATAAATTTCGATTGCAGGAGAGATTGACGCCAGAAAAATCAAAATATCTCTTTAATTAATGATTTATTTCATGCCAAAGTTATCAAAAGTTGTACATTTGTCGGAAATACGCAGGTTTTGGTATTAAAATATCACTTAAATAGCCAAATAGAAGAGAAATTTGAGAAAAACAAAAATTTGGAGCTTTTTATTGTCCGCGGATTTGCCCTATATTAAAAAATTTTAACAATTTTATGACCCAAATACTTAAACCTTGACCCAAATAGTAAATATTCTAAGAAATGAAAATCAGCTGTTTGAACAAATAAATTAGAAAATCCTAGATTTCCTTTATAAGCTAAAACGTAATAAGTGAATGACCCCTTATGTATCTGATAAAAGATTTTAGATCCTGAAGTTGTTTTCTCCCGTTTTTTATGCTGCTAGTTTGAACTCTAGTGCTTGGAATGAAATCTTGGATTAATAATGTCTTCAGAAGTTTAGCCAGAAATTTTTCGAAAAAAAAGGGTTTTGCCCCAAAAACCCGCGTTGACTACGCCACTGAATGTCTTTAACAAAGTGCTGAAGGTTAGTGTTTAAGAATGATGTTCATGATGTAATTATTAAAAAGGTCAAAAATCTACGCGTAGCTTTCATGTAAAGGTGATGATCAGCACCTGTCTTGAAAAAAAGTGAAACCTAGCGTAGACAAGTTGAAATTGCATGACAATTGCCTTGGTCATGGGCAAGACTATGCTTGAAGGCACCTTCTTTATCAACACTGGCTTTTATGACCTTTGATAATAATATAATAAAAGTGAAGGTAAATAACAGTAGAATTCCGATATTATCAGAACTGTTCTGATATTACGATGCTGAATATTCTGATGTTTTTATCTGAACAGTTCTGTAAACAAAAATTTTAAAAATGCGAATCGCAAAAATAAAATAACAGAAGAGTTCTGTAAAATATTCTGTTAATTTAACAGAACTCATCGGAATAGTTCTGAAAAATTCTGTTAAATTAACAGAACAAATCCAAAAAAATTATCAGAATAGTTCTGTTAAATTTAACAGAACAGTTCAGTCCAGCCTATGCAACACACCCAATTTTACTGTTTGAACACATGTCAGTAGGTTCATGACTTACTCAGAAAATCCTGTACCATAATATCGTGAATTAAAGGCATAACAAGCCTTGTTCGGTTTAAATTGGCTTGAAAATTGAGCAGCACTTTTCTTTCTCATTTTTGAATGAACAGCTTTCAAAGATATCCTCACAATTTACATGAACTTTGAAGACCAATTCTCGCAGTGACTGTCGATTCCAAAAAGTTGTCTAAAGTAATAAGAAATTAATAATATGTATTAAAATCATGGATCCAATACATACTGCATTTCTATTGATGTCAGCTAGATGTTTTTCGAATGCCTTTATGTTACTGTATGTCAATGTAACTAGCGCTTCTAATAAAGGAATGTTGGAGTCAAAATCACTCAAATGGTTTCCAACAAACTCTTTAGCGACTTGATAGACTGAATTACTTCCATAAGATATTGCTGGACATACTGCAACAGTTGGGAAGTCGATATTTTTAAGTGAAAAGTCAGTGTCTAAGCCTGTAATCGTTGGATTTAATTGAAATTTATCCCACAGCCTAGATATAGTAATAGAAGCAGACGTAGCTGAAATAAGAAGTATGCAGAGCCAGATAAACTTTTCTATGGATGTTCGTTGATCCTCAGCAATATATCGTATCCCATGAATGCTAAAGTTCCTTAAAAGCTCTTTTACTTGATGCTTTATATTTGTTTTTAAAATTTTCATCTTAATAGCTTGACAATCTATAAGAGACTGACTAGAGCATAGATTTAGAGGAAGTGCCTGCTAATTTCGTATTTATTATTTATGATCAAATAAATTCATGACATATAATGTCAATTTTGTTACGTGACATGATCTCGACGTGTAGCCTGTTTGGAGAGCTTACATTTCATATTCTTAACATTAATAATTCTTAAATCTATTTTGTGTACGCCAGCTCAGTGTGTAGCGCATAATTTTCACTAAGCAGTTGTGTGTCCAGCAGCCAATTAAAAACTGTTTTTAAATCTTAGAACTAGTGTTCATGTCGGCACTCGTTCCAATTTTCAGTAGGTCACAATGTCTCCAGGTCCGTTTCAGTAAAAGCCTTCCATTGTGAACTTACGGCTCACGTATCTTACTCATTCTGTGTTTTGCTAAAAACAAACTGAATTATGAATGTGAGACAAATATTTTCACTTTCGTGTGCATTCATAGATGCAGTTAAGTGCCTTGCTGGTCGAATAGGTAAGGCGCTTGGCTCAAATTTGGTATAGTAACTCGAAGGTCGTCGGTTCGAATCCAGCCATTTCCAAATTTGTTCTTTTTCAGAAGTTTAGATACTTCGACTGCTTAATGTACGAGATCAAGCCATAATTGGGCATTTTGGGCAACGTTGGATTAAGGAACGGATCAGGAACTTGAAGTGTAATGGGAGAAATAGGAACGAGAGCTACAAGATTACCTTATAATGGAATATTGTCAGAACAGACCTGAAATGTATCACGTCACACCCACAGAAGATTGAAACGAGAGCCTTAGTTTATTTGAAACCTAGATTTGAAGATTAGAAGCTTGATTCTACGTCACCCATAGTGATATGAAATGTATCACTAATCAATGTAAAAAGTAAAACATGTATAAATACTAATTCTTCCGGACGGTAACGTCGACAAATAAATAAAAAAAAAAAAAAACATGTAAAGAGGCAGAGTAAATTTTTGGCCGTGTATTCGATTTTTGTCAGTTGAAAAGCGAGTTAAGGTAGTGCAAAGACGTAAAGCTTGTTCAAAAATAAGTTTTAGTATCATTCCAGTAAGAAAAAATGCACAAAAATGTTTAAAATAGCAAAGTCAAAAGTGTTAGCTGGTTAAAATAGTGATTTAATTCAGAAAAATATATTTTGGATTATTATAATATTAAAATTAAATATAAATCGATATTCATAAAGCAGTAAAGTGATGGGTGAGAATCAAATCCAAGTTCTCAAAAAAAGCGTTCTCTGACCACTCGATCAGATAAAAAATGAAGAAAAAACACCAAGTCCAAATTTATGTATGATTTAAGAATTTTTTTAATGCATCAAATTCCGGAATGTTTAAGAAATTATCTACGGAAGAGCTTTGCGTATGGATTATCAACGATTTTAAAGTGAACTGACTTGTCACGAATTGATAAAATGAAGCGCTTCTTAAAAATTTCACGAGCACAAACTGGATCTGCTCTGAAAATAACTTTATATCCATCACTCCCAGGCCCACTGTAATCAAGATAGCATCGACTTGTGTCAATATTATTTTCTTTAATAATACCAGACAAGAACGCATGGTCATTAATAGCCTTGTCAAGAATGCACTCAAATGTTACAAACTTAGGCATTTTGTCCTGTACAATAATTTTTATAGGAAATTTATGAGGACTTTGAGGTATACGGAAGAACCATGAAGATACTACCTCAGTAAGGAATCGTTTTGAGTAATCATCGAGGCACTCAGCCTTAATGACTTCATTTTCTTCTTTTATGTACTGAATTCTTAACTCAAAAAATGGTGGATGTGCTCTGTCTATCAACGAATAGATTTCATTAACGTTTCCTCGATCAAAACCAATAAATGGGTAAGTCATTGGAAAAATAATTATCTTATATCGTCCAAGTTGATCAAATCTTAAATTTCTTGACAAATTGTTCTTTTCGCGTTCTTTGTCAGAAAAAAGTTTTCCATCGCAAACTAATGAAAAAAAAGAACACAAATTGTAATAATTAATTTTTTTTCTCATCATCCAATTCACTGCCACACTAAAATCAAGGATGAAATCAATTGTTAAGTTGAGTAAACCTAAAGTGTCAAGTGGCTACCATACGGTAAGGGAACAAGTGAAGTGGACAAGGATAGTTTCAGTTTACCTTGTCGGAAATTGTTCATTTGTTGGCAAGGTAATGAGTCCCGTTCGTATTTCTGGTACTGAGCTAGGATTTCTAAAAATATTTTTAATAAATTAAGAAATTTTATTTAAAGGACACTTTTTAAAACTTTTCTTACCATATTGATTGATAAGAGAACCATCATCAGGAGACTTAAAAATGGTGTCTTTGTTGGTGGAAGTTGATGAATGCATTGAACCTTCAGTTGTTTGAACAGTAAATCTGTATTTAAGAATGAAACATTTTCTCTAATCTTATTCTGTTTTAAAAATTGGCAATAATTAAATCAGGAGTACGAATTGTTTCGTTTTTTGACCTATTTAGTTTTGACTCATTTCGCATGATTGCATCAAAAATAGGCAAAAAAAGATCAAAATATTGTCCACTTTTGCTGATTGTTTTAGGCATTTTAAAATATTTTTGAATTTGCCACAAAGAAATTATTGAATGGAAAAATAATCAAAAATATTCATCAATAACCTGCTTGTTTGTTTCTGCTCAAATAAGAATTAGCTCTTTGAAGCATTTTGGAGTTTCTGATTAAAATAGTAATAATGGAAGAGAGTGAGTCAATCTCAACTCCTGAGCTCACATTAAGATCCGTACCTAAGGTTAAAATTAGTTTAAATTTGTAATTAAGACCTTGATTTTAAAAGCATGCAACTACTAAAAATTCATTCAAATTTACAATCCATTGCATGTTGTGGAATGAGTTTTTCAATATTATTGATCACGGACTACGTAAACTGTAAATTATAGCTTGAGAAGCACTGTCAAATTGAATGACATATTGTTTATGTGAAAAAACAAGTTTTAACTTCACTTATCAAGCCCAAAATAACAAAATTATCAGACTTATTCATCCCTACGATTAGATATGAGAAGCCTGTTTAAATGAAGTAACAGTCTATAAATATACAAACTTTTTCTTTGTTCCAAACACATCATGATTCATGAATTTTTTCTTTATAAAATTTAATTATTCAAGTCTGCACTTTGGGGCAAAATTGAAAAAAAAGGGACTTACAACTTTTGTATTTTTTACCTATGCTGATTGAGGTTCTTTATGCATTTCGATCCACTCAAATGACCATAACTTTTTCAGAATTAATATTTTTGCAATTTGTTTTCGATTATTGCTAGCTTAAATCAATACCTTTAAGGTGATGTATAATACTTGCATGAAACTTTGTTATAGCAGTCATGGGAGAGGTTTGAAAGTGACCGACTCAAGCTGAACTTCAACAAAATAGCCAAAATCAAGAATTTACCCATCAAAACTATTTAAAAGTAATGTATTTTGACTCAAATATGTTTCAATATGAAATATCAATCAACAAAACTTTGAAAAATAATCAAAACTTTGAGATTTTCAGACCCAATATTGTCTACTAGGGTCGTACCTTAGAAGCTACCTGAGATAGCAAAAACTTTGTGAAATGCAAATTTTGGAACTTTGTTAGTCATAACTATGATTAATCATTATAAAAAACCACAAATAAATACTTAAATTTGTTTTTAAGTGGTATTTCTAGAAATGACGATTTTGAAATTTTTCTAGTTTAGGGTCGCTCACAAACAAGGCTCATATTCATGACCAAGATGTTCATGACCAAGAAAGCCAACCATCAAGTATTATACATCATTAGAAAGGTTCTGACTTAAGCTATAATAAACTGGAAACAAAATTAAAAAATAGTTTGTTTTGTAAGAGTACTAGTGGTTTGAGTGATGAGAAAAGCATACAAGTCGTGAGATATCAAATGTACCCAATATCTCATCAAATTGTGAACTTTTTGAAAAAATTTCTTTACTGTTTGTTTTCTAACAATATTTATGATTAGAAAACATGAAAAAACTTATTTGTTTTCATTGATTTATATTTTTTATAAGCAATTTTAGTTTTTGGTTAAATATTCAACGACTCACTAAAATCGCTATAACTTTTTAATGCAGAACTATATTGGACAAAGTTCATACTGTTCTGAAAACTACAAGTCAATAGCTACATGCTTGTGTGATTCTACCCCATACTATTCTGCGATCTAAGATACTTGCGGCACGTTTGAAGATATTTTTCCACTGTTTTTCTTACATATCCTACCATAGCGGTACCAAAACTACAAGGTTAAAATCTTTGTGGAATATCAAAATGAAGCTCTCATATACTTCTATTAGGAACTGAAAACCGTTTTTCAATATCTTTAATAATCATAAGGAACTTTAGATTTAAAGAGGGCATGAGGAACAGCACCAAATGACTTGAAATTTGGCATAGAAGTCTATTTTTATGTCCTATACAAGAAAAAAGCCACTTGAGTTTGTAATTCGAAAAAGTCCCAAAATCAAAGTGAAAGTCCCTTTTTTTTTCAATGTTGCCCCATAGTGGTCTGTGAGCCTTTTTGTAAGATCTTGTGGTATCAGAGTCGTTGTTTGCTTATTTCATAAATTTTATACAAAAATCAAACAATTAAAATTGCTAGTAAATTTTAAATATTCTTTTTAAACATCGACTGTAAATTAAATTGATTTAAAAAAAAGTAAGAGATTCGTAATCAAATTTCAGTATTATCCCATAGTGAAGTTTAATAATAATAATAATTATTATTATTATTATTTATTACCAGAGGTATTTAGATAAAATGATATAGAATAGAAATGAGGAATTTGAGCATGACACTAGTATCGCGGAAAGGCGTGGCTTTAAAACGTGAAGTGTATTGAATTAAATTTCCACGTAAAGTTACCAAGCCATATGAGTATAGCCCAGAGCTTGGAATCGACTCGAAATTTTCATCGATTTTGGATGGTGTAGTCGACTCAACTCTACACAAAATTTCATAAATTTTTAAATTTATTAATTAATGCTTTTTACTTCTTAATTTACAATTTATAAAACAAAAAAAATCATAAAGTTTTGAAAATAAAGTAATTTTTAAATGTATTAAATCAAGAAGTTTTGATTTATTTTCATAATACTTAAATAATTATGAAATTTATTTTAAAAACTTTAGTTGAATTAAATATCAAAAATATAAAACGCAGAGAAACTTGTCATAATATTTTGTGGGAAAATATATAATACCATTTGCCATTCAAAGAAATTTCACGTGCATTAATTAATATTATGAAATTCAAAAGACTTTAATTCTTTAAGTTATTTTTTTCTCTATTAAGATTAAGTTTCAATCAATTTTAAAATCACACAAAAATCTAATAGAATATTTATTATTGATATAACTCACTTTTTTAAGTTAACTCTATAAAACGGCTTTAAATATATTCTTTCAAGAGTTATGAAAATGCGTCGGTTGGGTTTTTTTTCCTTTTTATGAAGCAACGACTGTTCCTTCCTTGCGCAAAAACAATACTAAAAAACTAAATTATCAAGACTCATGGTTTTGTTTAAATTTTATAAAGATTTTACTCTCTTTCACTCAAAGAGAGCTTTTTTATCGCGAGAGAAAACCGTTTTCACGCGTGAATCTATTGGTTTTGTTCAGATTGAAAAATCAAGTTTTTGCATTTTGTGAGAAAACGAAACAAAATTGGTTGTAAAAGGTACTTGAAGGTTTGTGCCTGAAATTTTACATCCTCTGCAAAAATCAGATTTCATATTGGTTGCGGAATTGCTGAAAAAATTGCAAAATATGCTTCCTTTAAGCAAGCAAACAAGCTGAGCATCAGAAGATGCAAAAAACTTTTCTTACTTAGGAATTTTTCAAAACAAAAGTTGACTGTTATTTTTATAAAATTAAACTTTGGATGAAAAATTTTTTTAAAAAAAACGTTTAAAAATTGTTCGTTAAGCTTTATACCTTCAAACATATTCTGAGCGAAGCTTGTTTTATCCACAAGACTTTTGATGGCACGGTGTAAATATATTTGCATATACTGACAATGTATAAGACGCTAATACGCCCTATAGCGCTGTATGGTGCAGAGTCACGGAACATGACTTCGCAATCGGTGTCTTTGAGCGGAAGATATTAAGATCAATCTTTGGCCCGTAGAAGGAAGGAGACCTATACAAATGCAGGAGCAATGCAGAAATTTATCAGCTGTATAGAGATACTGATATTGTTAGAAGAATCAAAGTAAACAGGCTTCGATGAGCTGGACATGTTTTTAGAAGACCTGTTGACGCTCCATTAAATAAAGTCTTCAAATCCGATCTTGTAGATGGAAAGAGATCACGTGGAAGACCAAAGAACTCATGGAAAGAGGCTGTTGATAGAGACAGTGTTGCATTTGGAATCGGCAATTGGCAGACGGTAGCCAGAGATCGAACTAGTTTTAGGGGATGGCTAAGGGAGGTCATGGATCACAATTGTAGCGAATACTAGCGAAACTAGTTAGCGAATTGAATATCTGAAAACTGTAGAACGATTACTAATGACTAATCAAGACTTGATGTGAACTCAAGTTGATCATGATGTGTCCATCAAGTAGAAGAACGGTGACCTAACGAATTGAGTGATGGACTATATATGGGTTTTTTGTGCTATTTTGTGAAAGCAGAAAAATAACTTTTTTAAATTTTGTGAAGTTGCCAGTTCTGAGATATGAGCATCTGAAAACGGAGCTAGGGCCGATTTTTCACTTTTAACACTTTCGACTGTAAATCTGACAAGGCTTGACGAAAATTGTTCAAACTTGGTCAGTAATTTGTGCAAATGTTTCTTAATCATATAAAATAAACGAAATATTTTTATCTAGCCGTACTGCGAAAATATGGGGATTCTACGGAAGGACCTAGTGCAAAATTAACTTGTTCTTTCGGTTGAAACCCCATATTTTCGCAGTACGGCTAGATAAAAATATTTCGTTTATTTTATATGATTAAGAAACATTTGCACAAATTACTGACCAAGTTTGAACAATTTTCGTCGAGCCTTGTCAGATTTACAGTCGAAAGTGTTAAAAGTAAAAAATCGGCCCTAGCTCCGTCTTCAGATGCTCATATCTCAGAACTGGCAACTTCACAAAATTTAAAAAAGTTATTTTTCTGCTTTCACAAAATAGCACAAAAAACCCATATATGTATAGTACATTACTCAATTCGATAGGTCACCGTTCTACTTGATGGACACATAATGATATCATAGCGGTTGAAATATATTGAAAAATAGATTGAAGTTTAAGTGTAGATAGGAAAGCATATTGTTGTTTAACTCATTTACTTCACACTTTGATAATTTTTGATGATATCATATGTTGCGCACATTCGTTTAAAAAACGTTGTATCTACAATCCTCGACAGGCTCGCACTCTTCGAACGTACATCTTGATGTGCTGATTCCATTTTCACCATGAACAAAAGGAATAAATTTGTGATGTTCAATGTGCTGACTGACTTCACACGTAAGAATGATTTTCTTCCAAAAATATTCGCCTTGTACGATTTTTACTTTTATTCCTATAACAGAATGAATTTTTTGGAATGGATCTATGATCAGTCCGCATCAAATACATTTGTGTAGCGTATTCAAGATATTTGGCTTTAACGTATCCTTCTTCTAGTGATAAGATAACATTTTTCTTTTGTTTGTCTTCTTTAAGGACTTTTTTGATAGCATCAAAGGATTCTTTATTGAACTTTATTGAACTTTTTTGAAGGATATAAATCAGGAATCATGACTAAAGAACCTTTCTCTTGAGGCGGAATGTAATGGAATCTTTCCGAATAGTTATTATTTTTAGAAACCTTTAAACAGTTTTTGGATTTAAAAGTACAAAAAAATCCGTGAGAATTTTAAGAGTGAGAATGATTAGACATTTTCTTTTTGTGCTGCTTATTCTCTCCATCATTGTCTAAAATTAGTTTATCATTTTAAAAGATAAATTTCTCATTTGCTGCTTTGATGTTGAAATCCGGGATGTAAACTTGATCAGAAATTCTTAAAACTTCATTAATCCGTTACACATTCTTGGTTTAAACTTACTTGATGCTTGAGAAGTATTAGTATTTGAACTAGTTTATGAAGACTTAATTTGATTGAAATGTTTCAAATTTTTGAATTTTATTTGATAACAAAAAATGACGAAGGACTTAGTGACGGGGGCTTAACCAAGAAGGGAGAGAGTTTTGATAGGGACCTGTCATCAGTCATAAAATTCTGACTTCTCTAGAAAATTGGAACAAAATCTTTGTAAAAGTTTTATAACCAACTTAATTATAGATTTCAAACAAGGCGTGGAAACTATCCCAAATATCATATTTATCCCACATATCCTAAAAATATTCAAAAAATTCCTGAGCATGTATGCACGATAATAAAGACATCCCAAAGTATCCTTAGTGTATTGGATGTGTAATTTCAGGATATGATGAGATATCTCAATTCTAATGCATACAGGTTCAGGGATTATTTTGAATATTATTTGGATATATGGGATAAATGGGATATTTGGGATAGTTTCCACGCCTTGATTTGAAATAATTCATTGATGATGATCGTTGACATCCAAAATTATTTGATTATTTTTGTTCTCAACGGACGCTTGCGTATTTGCAACTCTGCACAATTGCATTGTTTGTTGTTTGTTTATTATTTGTCAGACTCTTAAGAGATATGACACTGCAATACAGTTGGATGAAATAACAATATAAGACTTAGATAATATGAAACGAATACATTAATTTGAGTATGATAATCGAATAAGAAACTATTCGAAGAATAATAACGATTTAACTTATTTGAATTTTAACGGTCTTAGAAATTTTGAACTAATTTCAGTTCTAAGTTTTTAGCACACAGAATAACAAGTGATAGTTTGAGAATTTTAACTGTTATTTTAACTGTTAAATGACTAAAAACATTAATTAATCCTGAATAAGAATAATTACTAAATGATTGACTGTGACCTAGAAGCCATCAAGAGATACGACGATTATGGAATTGATCAGCAGCAAAAAGCAGGTCTATCTTGCCAATTAAGTATTTTTTCACTTCTAATTTAAATTTAATTAAGTTTTTAATTTCTTTCAGTTCCTTTGACAACTGATTGTACAGAATGATACCGAGATATGTGATATCTGTGCCTAGTTGTTGCTTCTTCCTGAATCTCGATATTGACCCAGGATATATCAATGCAAAGTACCTAGCCACAGTTTGCACGTCTCAAATCATACAAACCAAGTTGCCATGACTAGAAAAGCGAAAAATGCACCCAAATCCGACTAGAGATTATCTGGGATCGAACTTTGGTCGTTAGGGTTTAACTTAGCTCGCCATTTCACCAATTTTTTATAGCTTTAAATGATTTTATCTTCAAGTGAGGTCCTACACTCATAGAAAATATTCGAATATTCGCCTATTTGAATTTTATTTCTATAAAATCAAATTTTGAATATTAGAAATTAAACAAAAAAATAAATAAAAAACAAGTAAGTTCAAATATTTATTTTTTATTTTTAAATATTTGAATATTAGATTCTACATTTTTACAATAAATATTGTAAGTTTTGTAAAATTCATCAAATATTAAAATATTAGATTCTAAAATTATAATTTTAGAGTTGTTAGAATATTTTCTGTGCAAGATTGAAATAAGATTTTTAAATTAAAATAAAGTTGAAAAAAATGTATTTCTTTTGATAATACAGTGAATTCTGGTAAACGTTTCGACGAACTTAAAGGATTAAAAACGAAGAAAAAGCATTGATGAGATTTTAAAATCTGAAAATTTTAGCGACATTATAAAAAGCACAATTTTTAAGTTGGTAAGTGTTTAAATCATACATAAGTCTTTTTAATTTATTAATACTAATAGTTTTATTTCAGTCTACGTTAAATATGCTTAAAGGAATGAATTTGCTTCTAGTTAAGCTAAACATGATGAAAAGACCATGGAAATGAAGACATTTTTTTATGAAAAAAATCGGATGTACATCACGAAAAAAATTTGGGAAAAATATTCGTTCGGTTGCATTTTGTTGAAAATGAGCTCATCGTTAAGAACTATAAAGTTATAATTACTTAATATGGCATATAAAATATAAATTAATTAATAAAGAAAACATCAATTTAACATATAATCAAATTTTGCAATATTCAAATCTATCATTCGAGTTTTTATTTTTCAGGAAAGAAATTGAATAATCTTTTAATTAAATTCTAGTATTCGAATATTTGATTTGATTTATATTTAACGGTTTTGTGAAATTAGAACTATTCGTTGTAAATTTTTCGATTTTAATATTCGAATATTAGAATTCAAATAATTTAAGTTTTGAGGAAAATCCAAAATTAAATTTTTGATTTCTACATAGAAAATTAATATTAAATGTAAGATTTTTTCTATGAGTGCACTCGAGAGTAGCCTTCTTGCAAACTTACTGAAAAATATATCCTGATATAAAAGATTCTGAAAAATGAATAAATCTTAATGTTTAATCTGACAGAGATCATGCAAAAGACTATTTGTCTTTAATTGTAAAATTGTCTTTATTCTCATTATTTTAATTTAATATAACTCAATTCTGTATTGATGTTTGTTGGTGTGAGTGTTTATGTAATTTATACACATTTTTTTCAATTCATTAATTTTAAATTAGTTTAAAAAGGAAAAGTTATCTTAAATAAGATTTAATCTAAACCCAGGGTTGCGAAATTCAATCTTGCTGATAAGGATTATATTCGACATGATTACCAATGTTTAGCATATTCTTAAGATCATGAATATTTCGAAAGCATGCTGGATTTACGAAAAATAATATTATAAAACCATCGGAAATTTCATTAATATTATCAACTCTGCATCGTGATAGATTCAAACTGTTTTAATAGCTCACGCTTGTAATAAAATTACGAGCGATATATTCGCTTTTTACAGTGCACAATAAATTTACAAAATGTTCAAAATTACCTTTTAAAATTAATTTCATTAAGCATATTCCCTGAGAATTTGGCATATAAAAGTACAGAAATAAAGTTGCAATCTGATTTGCTATTTCAACTGTTCTACAGTTGAGCATGATACATTCGTCTTCTAAAGTAATATAAAGAAAACTTCCATTTTCACAAAAGCATGTTAAGATAAATTCAAAAACATTCTTTGTGACTTCATCACATGTCTCTAATGGATATTTTTCAGGTAGTAATACTAATTTACAAGTTCGTAGCACAAAAGTCCTCGCAAATTTTTTTACATCTGTTTGTCTATTTTCATCTTGTTGGATGATTATTGTGGAATAATTATGTAATGAGAGCGTCCTTGAATATTCTTTATATTAGCCAATATTTCATTCTCAACACTAGATGGTGATGTATCTAAACATTAGAAATATTATATTTTGAAATTTGTTTAGTCACTTGATATTCCTGAACGGTAATACTTACCCGACGCCGTTTTCTCATTTAAGCATTTGATGATCTTTGCCTTATCAAAATTTTGAGGTAATTTGTGAATTGTTAATTCTTCTAATGCTCCTTTTTGTGTCTGTAAAAAGCTAGTTCTGCCATTTTTAATTCCTACGTACCAGTGAAAAGTGATCATTGTTGTGTCTAAAGCTTGAAGTTTAAATGAAAAGTTGTCCGAGTCAAAGAAGCTTCCTGTTCCATTGCCAATAAGAACAAGATGCTTCATGTTAATGCAATTAAACAGCATATCGTTGACTATTTCATGAGGAAATCCATTCCATGTCCAATCGTCGTTGCGGATTGTGAGTTTTTCTGTATAGACTTTAGTGAGCTCAGAATTTCAATTTAGCCGATTTTAAGCCGATCGGCTTAAATTTCGGCTTAACATTCTTTAACTTGAAATTCTGAGCTTCCTATAGCTACATGCTGACAAAATATTACACAGAATCATAGTAAAGCATGTAAAGTTAAATTTAAATACTTAAAATGGGTGTTAAATGGCTTTTTTTCTATCAAAAAAATCAAAAATTGAGTTAAGCCGAAAAAATCGGCTTCGATCTCTGAATAATTGTATATGTAATAAATGAAATATAAATTTTAAATGTATTTTGTAGGCCTCCATTTGCCATCAATTTGTGGTAATTTTCCCATTTGATCATCTTCACCAAGGGAATAAGTTTTAGCTCGACTTGCAGACAAGTGGGCTAAAAATTAATTAAAACCTAAGTTGAGTTATTCTTAAGAAGTCTAAAGTTTCTCTACGTACCATAGAAAATTGGTAAAGGATAAGAAGATGATTTGTTGATCCTTGCGCTTCCATGACACAAGTCTAGTAATATAAGAGTTAAAATCATATGGCATATACACAGACACAAACACTCAACAAAGTATTTACTAGTATAAAATTTAAAAAAAAAATTACCAAATATTTTTTGCTTTATTTCAGCATTATTCAACTTTGAATCGTTAACTAAGATTTCATATTTTGTTGGTCTCGCAACGTTCTGTATGCTTAAATGGGAAAGAAGAAGAAATTGCTTTTCGACTATGTCAGTGTCGATAACTGATCCAGGAATGTTTTTACTTTCAGTATCCACGAAGAATCTCGAACGATGACGCTTGAGTGCAACAAAAACGATTATTTCTGGAGATTGTAAATTCTTATAAATCTTTTTTGTCGCTTCAATTTCGATATTCTTTACATCATTGTACTGGCTATTTGAAATACCATCACTAGAAATGTTTTTTTTATAAGAGTGCTTTAAAGCGCTTTGAAATTTGTAATATTACCGGCAGTAAAAAATCCTCTCTAGTAGTTGATGGTTCTCCTCGTTAAAAGCATTTAAATGATTTATAAATGCATCATATAAATTATCAATTATTTCTTTATTTGGCTCTTGATGGCAGTAGTCTGCCTTGTATCTTCCACCTGCAGCATCAATAGATGAAACGATAGCAGCAATCGAATAAGAAAGATTTTTGTCAGGATGAGTAACGTCCTAAATTTAAATATTCTTAGAATATTTTGATAATTATGAATTTAATAATTACAACTCACGACACCAAAAAATATTTCATTCTTGTTCTGCAAATTTTTTACTTCGTAATTTTTACCCCCTAGCTTTGTGTTCAGTTTGGAGCAAATCCCTTCATAAATTTTGTCTGAGGCGCCATTTGCTACTGCATTTAGCAAAGTTTTAATCTTAATACATTGCGTTGTAAAGTCAACATATGTTTCAGCAACGTTTTTGACATTGTTATATATTTTATTATCAACAATCACTAATGCAAATTTGTATTCGTGAGCAACAAGTTGTTGTAAAAAATTCCTGATTACTGAATTGCTATTTAAATCTTTTACAAAGATTTCTGTTGCACTAATTTATTTCAAGTTGATGTGCATTCTTTTAGCAGCGGTTACTAAATCATCTTTAAATTGCGCAACCTCGTAAGATTTTACATTTTGGTGATCAATTGATTTTAGAATACACCATTTAATTTCATCTCCCCCCAAAACAAGCTTTAATGAATTGTGAATTATTCCAAATTCCATTTGATGGTATCACAGTTTTTCCATGATGATACTCTAATTCTGATGGTTTTATAGTGTGTCCATCAATTACTGCCAGCGACTTATTGAATGTAAAACCAAGTCCTTCTCCAAATGAATGTAAAGATATGTCAGGTTTATTAATCAACTGCTCAAGTTTTTCTTTTCTATTTGAATTAATCTCATTTCGTTTCATCGAAGCGTGGTTAGAAAAAACAAGACAAAATTCAATAGGAAAATATTCCTTTTTTTCTCTGCTACCGACCCATCTAAATTAAACATTTAGATATTAATAAATTTGGTAGCTTATTATGATTAATTTGCTTACACAAGTGGATAGCCAGGAAACATAAGTTTTATATTATATTTTTTGTTAAAATAATTTTCAACAGTGATTTCATGTTTGTTCCTAATAAATTTGGCTGTTGAAGCGCTTTCAAATAAATCTAAAAAATTGCTAATTTTATGAATTGGTTTTGGCGGAACTCGACAATATCCAATTTTCAAAGCTTTTAACATTTTTGTTATTTTATTTATCTGAAGATTTTTCAATTTATGTGGAAAACTCAAACCATTTAGTATTTTTTTCTGTATTAATTCTAGTAGAAGAATTGGACAGCTAGCACATTCAACAGTTGGAGTAATAGTAACATAAATTTGAGAACTTATAACGCTTGTCAAGTTGCTAAATAAATAAATAAAAATTAAATAAATTTAATGATTCATTCATTAGTTTTACACTTACAATTTATAAAACTTTTCAAGACTCGCATCTTCTTGGTGTACATTTGGAAAAATATATAAAGATGCTTCAATTATAAAGCTTCTATTACAATTATTCTTTTGCATGAGTCCTTTAAAAAAATATTAAGTAAAGGAACAGTCTTTTGGAGAGTTTGTTGATTAAATTCAATAGAACCTAAAAGAATCAGTTCTATTTTAAGATCGCTATGAATTTTTTTTAAATAATGGTTTGGTATGTCGATTTCTTTAGTCATGCCTTCATTCAAATTGTTTTCAGTGTATAATTCTGAGTTATTCATAATCTCAAAATTGCAATGGCCGTGTTTTTCCAGCATAAACTGTCTAATTATTTCCTCTAGGTTACATTTAATGTTATTTTTTATGTTATAAACGTATAACTTCTCCAATGAAAACTTATTTACGATTTTAATGGAATTAGTGCAAATCTTAATTGCATTCGGAACTTGACTGTTGTTTTCTGAATTTTTAATTTTTTTAATTTGACGTTTTCTCTAATTAAAATTTTTGAGGATATAAAAGCATTTATTTTGTTTTAAAAATTGAATAAGAAAAAAATTGCTTATAAATGACATTTTATCTCTACTTTTTTCCATTCAGGGCCGTCACTGTCATATCTTTCACAATTCACGTTTGATTCTTTAAAACATTGATTTAATATAAATAAGATTTTTTTTTATTTTTTTCTGGATACACTTTACAAAATTAATAAACTATCTTACCGTTCATTGTTAAAAATTAAATAAAATTGTTTTTTTAATTTGACGTGTTTACTGTCTTGATTCTCAAATCACACTTAAAGAACCACTACTAATTCGTCAGCCTTTTAAAGAGAAATTGATGTTATAAACTGTTATAAGTTGTTGTGTTTTTTTTTTTTTATCCGATATACCTAAAGCTGATATCATTAAACGTTTTAAAGTAAACAGGCTTTGATGGGCTGGACATGTTATGAGGAGACCTGTGGAAGCTCCATTAAGTAAGATCTTTAAGTCGATCATCTTATCAAATATAACATTAGCTCCTGAGAAATAAAGCTTTTGAGACAAAAATACCAAAGATTGAAAATGGCTTATTCATCAACATTAAACAGACGATTGACGTCAATTGATTTTATTACAGTTTGAAAACAAACAATACAGAATTCTATTCTACTCAGATGTGACTAATATTTAATAGATTTTTAATTTTGTGTTAACTCATAAAACTTATAAGGAACGATAAGAAATTTTCCTGATTTTTGTGCAGCTGAATTACGATTAAAGTAATCAATAACAATACTCTTGTCAATAAAACACATTTGTAACAATCAATTTAATGTTCTTACCTTATGAGACCTTATGAAATTCAATTTCATAAGGCAGTTAAGTGCCTTTCTGGTCGAATAGGTAAGGCGCTTGGCTCAAATTTGGGATGGTAACTCGAAGGTCGTCGGTTCGAATCCAGCCATTTTCCAAATTTGTTCTTTTTCGGAAGTTTAGATACTTCGACTGCTTAATGTAGGAGATCAAGCCATAATTGGGCATTTGGGCAACGTTGGATTAAGGAACGGGTCAGGAACTTGAAGTGTAGCGGGAGAAATAGGAACGAGAGCTACAAGATTACCCACGAATGGAATATTGTTGGAACAGACCTGAAATGTATCACGTCACGCCTACAGAAGATCGAAACGAGAGCCTGGATTTAATTGTAACTTAGATTTGAAGATTGGAAGTTTGATCCTACATATGTATACAAACACAAAAGTGTAAAATGTGAATTATTTCCCGACAGTATGTCGTCAATAAATGCAATAAACTACAATTAAAATGAAAAAAAAATGAAAAGCAATTAAACTAGTCAAAAACTTAAAATAAGTTCTCGAGCGACACAAGGTGGATGATGGTCTCCATATGAAGTAACAGTTCCTTTTGCTACAGTAATTTGGTCCAATAAACCATTTTTATTAATATTTTAGCAAATCTTTTGTACAAAGTAACAAGTTTGAAATAACAGATTAAAATATTTCTTGCATTTTCCCAAAACATGCCATGTTTTGTTTGTGACCAGTTTTTATAACAATTTTTTGACACTTTTTTTAATGTCCTTACAAAATCAGTAAAATTTTAATTGATTGATAGACACCATAGAAATTCTTTTTGGTTGTCAAATGATTGTGACTTTAATCTCTTGGCTGGAGTTCATGTAAGCCTATTGTCGTGCTTATTCTTAGCTTTCAATATCGGAAAAAAAAATATTAGTTTTGAGCTCTTTTTTATATATATTATTTTTCCATTTCTTTTGGCTGGCATTTTGTTGATACTTCTCGGAATTATACCAAATTTTTTAACTGTTTCGATATTTATGATCTATATCATGAATCCCTAACCCATAACAATCAAAAGTTCAAATCAAATCAGCTAAAATAAAATTCTTTTGAAAATTTAACGCAAATTTTAATTTTTGTCCTCTTTTTTAGCATATTTTGGTCCAAAGCCAATTGACGAAAATTACATGATAATTTAAAAAATTTAAAATCCTTGTCACAAACCTCACACAAAACATGCTTTAGGGTTTCTTGTTCATTCTGTAAATTATAATAGAGCTGCGAACTAGATTTATTAAAATATCTAACTCGAAGCTCCACTGAAGAATGAAAGAAAATCCTAAAATTAATGCTAATTCTCAACAGTTTCACATATTTGGATATTTTGAAATGTCGTATGCGCTTCCTCTAAATATTGTGGTGCAACACTTATTTTATTAAGATTTGGAACAAACCTGTTAATAATTTTAAATCGTTCAGTTACTCGTGCAACCTTTGAGGTTATGTAAATTTCATTCAAATGAGGCATGAATCTTAAAAACTCCTCAAGCAATGTATTTATGTTACGATCCTGTGTTATTAATGTTAGCTTTCTAATATTTCTCATTTTTTTGAACAATCCAAGAAACACACCAAGGGTTCCTCTATATCTGCTCTTGTCAACTACTTCAAACTCTTCTAGGTTCTCGAACAATTTTGTTGGAGGATTTACACGCTTCTCAACCTCATCACTAGCTATGTCAGTTTCACATAATACAAATCGGAAGAATTTGATACCTGAAATGTGATAAAATGAGATTTAATATTAGATTATTTAATTACTTATTGAGGAGACTATGGACTGACTTAGAGGTCGTTCACTTATGACGTCCGAAATTAACGGTAAATTTTTTTTAAAAAAAACAATAAATTCCCAGGAATTTATATTGTTTTTTTCTTGCTGACCCCATCCCCCCTCCCCCCTTAATGGACATCATAAGTGAACGGCCAAGTTAGAATTAATTTAGTAACTCAAGGGCTTAATTTAGATCAGTGGTGGTCAACCTTTTTTGTGCCCATTTAATGTTGATGGTAAGCAATGACCAAAAACACACAAGGCATACTGTTATTGGGACCTTTTTGAATTTTTTTTTGTGGCATATGGGTTGGCTATCACTGATTTAGATGCACAGCCAAGAGGGAATCTTGGCTGGACCAATACTTGGGTTGACAAAATGTTCCCTTTTTTCTAGACAGTGTTTTTTTCTCCCAAGCGACAAAAAGGCGTATATTGACATTGTGGCAACCTTATTTTGACACTTGTCTTCTTTTATCTATCCACATGGCTCTTCTGTAGTTGTAGTCACGTAATGTTATCCTGACGTTTCCAAGAGTCATATTCAAGCAATGCGGATGGATAAATTCAGCCAAGTGCTACCCTCGCATCATCAAATGTCAACATAAGCTTATTGTCGCTCAGGTCTAGGTTTTGTCTATGCACAGCTATCATAGCTATGATAGGGAATCTAAAATTGCCAATTCTGGTTTTGATCAAACCCTCCAGTCCCAAGCTACCCCAATTTTAATAAATAAACATGAAAGTACTTACATGGAAATTGTTGAAGCATTTCAAAGGCACTCGTTATTTGAATTTCATTTGCTTCGAAACCATACACATCCTGCTTCTTCCCATCGAGGATCAATGGAGTCTTGCCATAGTAAAATTTATTTAAATTCATCTCTTCAATGATGTAATTGAGGACCTTGCCACCATCAAAGTCGAACGGTAATTTGTGAATTGTTAATTCTTTCAATGTTCCTTTTTGTGTCTTTAAAAAGCTAGTTCTGCCATTTTTAATTCCTACGTACCAGTGAAAAGTGATCATTGTTGTGTCTAAAGCTTGAAGTTTAAATGAAAAGTTGTCCGAGTCAAAGAAGCTTCCTGTTCCATTGCCAATAAGAACAAGATGCTTCATGTTAATGCAATTAAACAGCATATCGTTGACTATTTCATGAGGGAATCCATTCCATGTCCAATCGTCGTTACGGATTGTGAGTTTTTCTGTATAGACTTGACTCGATAAGGCTTTGAAAATGTTGTCGTTGCATTTGTCCAAGGAAATAGTTTTTAAAGTTGATAGTGTTGGTAAAGTTTTGTTGATATGCTGGTCAACCGAACATTTCTTTAAGATGATAGATTTTAAGTTTAACAGCCCACTAAACAAGCTATTAAATTGATCAAAATTTCTAAACTTTGCATTTTCTAATTCTAAATGTTCAATTGAATTTTTGAATAAATTTACAACACATAAGGGCCCCTCAGAGGTGTTCAATCCTTCATGATCAATCGATAAATTTTTTAATGGAACAATTTGAAGATTTTGATTTGCCAAAACTGACGAAATCGTTTCTTTGTTCACAATAATTTTAAATTTGTGTAAAACCGTTGCAGAATTGCCAATTGCTATCGATAGTCTTGCGTCAGCACTTATAAGATTTAACTTATCTTTGTCATTCAAATATGTACAGATGTGCTCAAGTGGGTCCGTTGGAAGATCTTCAAATTTATATTGATCTAAAAGTATTTATTTTGAATTTAGAATTTGCATTTTTTTAAGAAATAATTTAAAATAAATTTAAAATTGAAACTTACAAGTCTTCTCTTTACAGGTTGACTTTAAATTCTTAAATTCTGTATTTTCCTGCTGCTTAGTAACGACTTCATAATTATAATGACATTTTTGTTTCCGTGATGTTTTAGGGCTTTTTCTTTTTATTTGAAAAATATTATGAGTGCTTTTCTCAACTACTTTACATGCTCGGGAAACTTCTTGATTGATAGTCACAGTTGGGGATATCTTAGTTGTGTGCAAAGTCTTCTCAATCACATTTAAACCGTTTGCTTCATCAATTTTCATGCATTTTACATGAGTTGGACTTTTTTGTTGATTATTTCTTCTAAGATTTTCATTTTTAATTGCGTACTGTTTATTGCTAGTACAGGATCTACTGTATGAGGCTGATTCTTCACGAGTCGCATTAAAACTGTTCATTTTTTCACTTTGATTAATTTTTTTTCACCTACAAAAGAGAATAAAAGGGTCGTTAATATAATATGAAATATTAAAGCTTTATAAATTCTTTTTAAAAAATTAAACGACTTTAATATGTTCAAATAAAGTTTATAAACAATCATATGGTTTTCAGAAAACAATTGTACGGTTTTATAAGCTTCCAAATTGAAACGGAAAGCATGAATGGACACACGTAATAAAAAATCAAAAAGAAATAACTGAAACAATATTTCACATTTTCTTATTTTTGGTTAAATGAAAAAAATTTAAATAATTTTAAACATTTAATTTTTATTAATTTTGTGTAACTTCGTAAATTTAGGGAAGAAGTCTTTTAATACTTATTTGATCATCACTCGGATGCTCCTACATGATAAGTAAACTACCAGATAGAGAGCAGCACTTGGTGGTCTAGCTTTTTACAACTAGTTTCTCAATTAATGGACAGTTTTTAGCTGAGCTCGGAATCGACTCGAGTCGACTCGAACCCTATCGACTTTGAGCTCTGGTTTTCAGTCTACAATTCGCAACCAATCCTAGTCACAGTCCAATTTTATTTATACCGTAGAGTGTTTGTATGAAAAGTAAATTTTTATTTTGATCGTATGCTTGGATCGAGAAACTCGGCCTTGAATGGCCTTGACTCACTTCAATTCAAAATTATATAATAAACAAAGGCCGGTTCTAACGGCTACCCGGGGCACTCTAGGACAAAACTTCCAAGAACAATAAAATTAATCTAGGACTACGGTAGGGTGCCCCGGATAGCCCTAGAAGATTTTGAAATTAAAACATTAGATCATAAATAACATTGTGAATAAAAGGCGTGATGATTAATCAGTCAGAATTCTCTTTCACAGGAATGGAAAACTTTTTTTGTGCCACGGCACACTTGGCAGACCAAAACAGCAAACGTTCAAAGGATTTTTAATTTTTTTCTCGTCACTCTAGTGCCCCGCGGCACATGGGTTAGTCACCCCATATCACTGTCCTATCATATTGATTTCCCACTTCATTGTAATTAAAAAAAATTCTCTGCACTTATGAGCATCCTTCATGAATCATGATTAGGGTGACCATCTGCGTAGTTTTACAACTGACAGTCCTGTATTTCAAAACCCTGTCCTGTATAAATTTGAAAATTTTGTTCCAGGTCCTGTATTTTTTTCACGAAAATTTCCGTTAATTTTCAAATTTTCCTTTGTGTCCTGTATTTTTTAGGAAATTTATCAAATTTCCTGTATTTTCATAAAAATTAGATGGTCACCCTAATCATAAAACAATAATTAATCATTAACATTAAACACGTACACAAATAACTGCTATATTTTATTAATTAAGTTATATTATTTAATTGCACTAGACAATGCTGTCGTCAGCAAAGCTTTGTAAAAACCAGATCATCAACAAGGGGTGCGCCGCTTTTCATTTTTTTCTTTGTTATAATATTAAAAATTATAACATCAGCTTACAAACATGTCCAAAAATATCGACTTTTTCTACAAAAATAATTTTGAAAATTTCTTTCTGCTATTTTTAGTCTTTTTTCAAATATTTTCTTAAATTGCAATTTTCTTTCTTTCAATCCTACTCCCAATTTTTTAATGGATCCTGCTTAATGGTTTTAAATTGTTGATTTATTTCTAATAAACATATTTCTTTAATAGCTAAAGTATTTGTGATTGATGCTTAATCTTTACCTCTAGTTTGTTATTTTTAACATATTTTTGAGGACTATAGCTCCTGAGTAAAAATAATAAAGGTTAAAAAAATAGCTTATTCATAAATTTTACACAGACGATTGACGTCAATTGAATTTATTACAATAAAAAATTAAATTTTTAATTCAAATTATTTTGTCAAATTCAAGACTTAACTGATAAAAGCAATAATATTTATCTACAATTTTAAAGTGCCACATCCTGTGGCTTATATTTTAAATATTTTTCAATTTTTTTTATACTCAGCAAGCTTTAAATATTTTTTTAATGTTATTTGATTTGAGCTTGAGTGTTTTCACTTAAAACTTTATCACAAATGATAAGAAATTATGATGATTTTCATAGTAAAATAAGAATTAAGAATAAAAGTCGTAATAAATTTAAAGTTTTTTTTTCACGATTAAAGTAAACAAAAACAACATTCTTGACAGCGAAACACATTTTAACAGTCAAATTATTGTTCTTACCTTATTTTTTTCACTTAAAAGCAATTAAGCTAGCCGATATCTTAAAATATGTTGCAACTTAATTTTTCTTCCAACTTACAAAATGTTATCATTTGTAAAAATATGTGATCTAAGTATAACAAATTTTAAAAAAGTACGTTATTTTTTTTGCTTTTGGAATTATTTTTTTCCTTTAATTATTCTTTTTCAATAAAAATTTGTGATTTTTTGAAATTAAAATTTTAAAATCTTCATTAACTTAATAAATATTTGAAATTATTGCATTTTAGAATTTGAATTCGAATAAAAATATAATCTTAAAATTTCAAATTTTTTAACGAACTTACATTTTTTAAATACATTTTGTTATAGCTCAGGTGTTATTGCTGTTAAAAGTGTTATACTTGTTATACTTGTTATGTGAAATGATCTATGAAAGGGAAATAACGGATATAACATCTTAAGCGATAATTTTATCTTATTTTACAATTTTTTTATTTGATGAAAATTTTTGATTGTGGTTCAACATTTCTTGGGATTAATTAAAATTTCAATCAATTTCATAACTTTTTGTCCATTTATTTGAATGACTTTCTTGATAAATTTGAATATTTTGCCATAAATTTGACATTAAAAGCTTCATTTATGAATGACTTAACATTATTAATTAATTTTTACCTTTTGTCCATAAAAATCCAGAAGTAAGAGTTACTTTAAACATTCGATCATATCCAATTTAAACAAAAAAACACCTATGTGGTCAGCCATGACCAAAACTGGACACGGCACACGATTTGTGGAATTTAATGACTTTTTCGCGGCACATTGGTTGACCATTACTGTTTTAGACTAAAATTCTCTTTTATTGTAGCTAGCAGGAATAAAATAATTAAATTTTATATTCAAAAAACGGTTTTTTTAAAAATTTAAATTGAAAATGTTTTCAAAAAATTATTTTTGTTTCGTGTAAATTTCCAGCTGATATTCTGGAAACGGAAACGAGAACGGAATCTTCAGAAAAAAATAAAAAATAAATTATAATGAAATTAACGGTTTTTAAATAATTCAAATTGAAAGTATAACATTTGTAACAATTATATCCTTCGTGAAATGTTACATTTAAATCTTACATTTCTAATTCAAAGAAAAGTATCACAGAAGATTGTTCGATCTCAAGTCGATTATATGTAAAGTGCTAGATCAATATTTTACATCAAACTATTAGAAAAACGCGGCACACAAGCTTTAGAGCATATCAAAACTTTATTTTGCTTAGTTCAGTTTTCAAGTTGTGTTAAATTGTGCAAAAAAAATAATAATTTGAGTATTTAAAGTGAAACTTATTATAATTTGATAATAATAGCTTGAAAGTGAGTTTTTGAATTTGTAATTTTTTGTTTCCTGTTTTAATTTGGTGACTTAAATCGATCTTCTCAAAGTTAGGACAACAAAAACCAAAAATACTCAACTTATTTCTGTGACTCATTTATAAACCTTTTTTTTTGTTTTTTAATGACCGATCACCTGCTCGGAATTTCAAATTACAGTAAACTATTTATTTTTTTATATTTTTAAAATAATGAATTTGCGATTAAATTCGTTCTAAATCGTTTAAAAAAATAATAAAACAAAAGAAATAATAACTTAATCTCGAAACTAAATTCACGTTTTCTAAAATAATCGTCAGAAAAAAGGAAGGCATTTCATTCAATAATAAGAATATTATTTGGAATTTTAACTTTAATTTGTTCTATTGAACTTAATTATGAATCGCAACCACGATAACAAAAGCATAAAAGCAAATAAACTTTATTAAAATATTTGGTAAGGAATCTCAAATTTAGTTTTTAATTTTTAAATTTCCCAATATTAAATATAATAATGAGATGTGTGAATGATACGGACGTATATTTTAAAGGCTGTTGGAGATGAAGTTTGCAAATTTTAAGTTTTTTTCTTCTGGGCGTCAAAATTCTTAGCTTTGCCAATATTTATGAAATTATCAGAGATCGAAGCCGATTTTTTCGGCTTAACTCAATTTTTGATTTTTTTGATAGAAAAAAGCCATTTAACACACATTTCAAGTATTTAAATTGAACTTTACATGCTTTACTACAATTCTGTGTAATATTTTGTCAGTATGTAGCTATTGTAAGCTCAGAATTTCAAATTAGCCAATGCTAAGCCGATGAATAATAATAAATGACTTTATTAAAATTTTAGCAAACTTAACATTGCTTTAAACCATAAATAACATATCCGATTTCTTCTGTTTTTTTTTTTTTATTTTCATATCAAGCAGGAAAACTACGATTAAAAAATTCGGTAAGTTGAGGTCATTTTCAGGATGCAAACTGATTATGGCTTGATAATTTTGATCATTCTGATCCCTAAGGGGAATTTTTTTTTATACACCTACACTTACACATACGCCTACCCAAGAGGATATACTAGTGTATCCAGTGTACCCAGTGTAGGTGTATATCGAGAAACCCACTCTAGGTGCGGATTCAGGAGATGGTTTTGTTACCCAAATAACATACTTTTATTGAAATTTGCACCTTCAACCCCCCCCCCCCCCCATCCACTCTAACACTTCAAATTTCTTGCTAGGCTCTTGTTCTGATCAGTGATTTATTCTTGAACCATTCTGAAATGTTGCCTGCTTTCTTAGAGAATATTTTCCATTTCTTAACAGATCGCTACTGATCAAGTCGTCTAAATTGGATCACTGGTACGTATAATATTATAAAATTTACAAATAATGATCCTCTATCGATTTCAGTATCAATTCAAATCCGAATCAATCTGTGCACCGCAATTGTTTTGGGTGGAACTGATACAATTCTTCAAAAATCTTTACATGATCTTCTTGGGTCAGAGATCTTTTGAATCCATTCAAATTCTGATTCCATTAAAAACTATATCAATCAAATACTTTTATATTTATTGTCGCTTAAAGTTACATTGTTAAAAAAAATAAAAATAAAAAACGAACTCAGACTTTAAGGTTAACTTAATAATAGTCTATAAAATCTTCTGAAGTTACTTAATGTGATCTTCAGACAAAAGAAAAGTGAGGGATGTATTTCATATATCCCTTTCTTTTCTATTACAGCAATCATGACAAAAAAACGTTCAAATAAAGCATCAAAAGCAAGCTCAACACTTTTAATTCACAATGATACTAAATCATCAACATCTCTGTGTATCTCTGAGATATCTAAATCAAAATCATCGGCAGCAAAGGATCCATACACAATCTTAAAATTTACAGACATTCCTCCATTCATTCTTTTAGCTTCTTTTCTTCGCCAAGTGTCAAAATTTATTCCAAATATAATTGGAATTTCTCGTCGTGCTGATTATCGCAACAAGCGTCTTGGCTACACAATTTTCATTTATTCAGTCGGTAAGAACATCGATACTAAGTCAATCTTTTTGGTTTTCGACGGTAACTCCAACACGACATGTTCAATCGCTGATTATGAGATTGGTTGTGCTCAAATCGAAGAATCTTGTTATAAGAATCCAAATGAATGCATTCCAAAATCAATCTTCTTTAAAGGATTTAAAAAGCTTGATACAGGAACAGAACAGACTGAATTGTTAACACAATTGGTAGATTTCTTTGAGAAACAAGGAACTGTCACATCAATTCGGATAAATTATGATGCAAACAAACGGAAAATTAAAGATTGTGGCTTTGTGACATTCCTATCAACTGCTGCTGCTAATGATATAGCTAAAGATAAACACCACATGCCAGAGATACACGGATTTGATACAAATAACTTTAGAACAGAAATATCATTTGGAGTTCCGATGCTTGTTGACACAGAGAATGCTCATAAAATGCCACGTGGCAAGTCAATATGGTCAAATGACATTGAAGATATAAACATTCTAATTACACGTCATCAAGCTCCAGTTGTTCATCCTCGTGGCCACGAAAAAGATATCTATACTGGCGAGGCAGAACCGAAATTATCTGTTCCACTGGAAGTGCCCAAGAATAATAAACGGAAATTGGGATCTGATGATGAGAATTCTTTTAGTCCTCAATTACCGAATGAATTCAATTGGAACATAAAAAGGAATTGTTGGAGGAACGGAGTCAATGGTTCTGATTATGATTTCGCATTAAAAATTATCAAACAAAGATAAACTCAATTTAAAGCTAGCTAAACTATCAAAAGTAATTAGTCCGAATGGCACAGGTCGCTTAATAGATTAGAATTCCAGCGCCCAGGCTTCATGACTCTGGCATGAGCCTACGATTTAAAAACAACAGAGACACATTAGCTTAGTGCCAATTAACACAGGGATCTGAATTTTCTTCAAAAATTTCGCCAAATTTGTTTTTTAGAAAATAATTCAAATTGCTGAACGCACCCTGACTACAATTTTTACAACCGTATTACAATATTTACAGAACCAATAACTCGATAGAACTGAGCTAATAAAACAAATCCGAGCTCTCCACGATGTCTAGTTAAAAAGTTTTTCTCCGCCCCAACGAACGAACGAACAAAGTGTATAATTGACCTACCTTTTAGAAACAAGTTTCAAAAATGCGCTAAAAACTCCCAATTTGGTTAAATAAAGTGTTTTTTTTAAATATTGAAGTCAAAAGAACAATCTTTATTTTTCACAAATTAAAATCTCTGTCAAACTCAGTCCGATCAATTAGCTGTTTTAATTTTAAATCATCAAATTTCAAAAAAAAGCTGAAATCAAGTTTATTGAAATTCAAACTATTTTTTTTTATTAAATTCAAATGAAGAAAATTGACAAAAATTTTAAAAAAAATTTAAACAATTTTTTTATCTCTGATTTCAAAAATCGACTAGGCATCTGCTGCACTAGTAGAATTTACTTCAACACGATTACCAAAAAATTGTCTAGTTTCCTCAACATATTCACCAGCAACCCAAATCTTTGATAAAGATGGGACAAAATTTCTAATTATATTTAATCGTGCTTCCTTTCTTGGAGCTTTCGAGTCAATATAAATTTCAGTCAAATGTGTCATCCTTGGCAAGAATTCATGCAGTAATACATTAATGTTGCTATCTGTCGATTGCAATTTCAGACTTGTGATGTTACGAAAATTCTTAAA